CTTCCCAAGGCCTGGTCATTCTTTGCAGATGGATACCACTCGCCACTGCTCCCATTCCATCTCCTCAATCCTATTTCCACTTCCTCACACGAGAGACGTAGCTGCAGAGCAAGAGTGGCCACATAATTTGCAAAATGAAAATGCAGGGTCCCTTGAGCAGAAATTATTACGAATTTCAAGATGATAACAGAACTTTAAACCAAATATGGGGCCCTCTAAAAGCTGGACTCTGTACGATTGTACAGATCACGGGCCCATGAACCCCTCTGCTTTGAGTCTCATTTTTTTCCTTTTCAAAATGTATTTAGATTTTCAGTCTGTTTTTTTTGTAACAGGGAAATTAAAAATTCTTTGTGACAGGGAAACATAATTGGTTCTTTACTATTTCTTGATGCCATTTAAGGAAGCTGGCTCCTAATCTTTTGTTTGCTGAGCATATTAATGAGTGTACAGATGCAAATTAGAGGCCTAGAGGATGGAATTATTCTGCATATGAAATGTGATGGGGGAGGGGAAAGAGGCCAGAGCCTACCCTGGCTTAGAGGAAGATCAGGGAAGACCTGGGTACAGCCCAGGGGAGCCCAGGTATAGGGAGAGAGGACTTAGGGGCCAGTTTTCCCAGGGAGGAAGGAACAGGGATGACTAGAGGAAGCTTATGAAGCTTTCCCATAAGGTGAGTGATATTAACCGTGTTTGGTGTCATGGTGGTTTTGATATGTTAGTCATATATATTTTTCTACACTTTTCAAAAAAAGATAAAATGGCAAAGATAAAAGATACCCATAATATTCAATGATGGTCCACTTAAATTTAACTCGGTAATGCTGATGATACTCACACCGAACTTTGGGAAACACTGCTCAAGTTAATTTATAAGCAGTATCTTCCAGAGGAGGGCAGAGGCAGTGGTGGAGGCCAGGGAACTGAGGCTGCCACAGATGGCGCCAATCCGAGTAAATGCGAGATCGCCTCCTCCATCTCCAATGCCCACTGAAGTCACCAAAAGATCTATAACGGGTGAAAACCTGGCGAGCCAAGTAGGAGGCCACCTGCCACTCATCTGCTGGAAATTTCTGAAAGGTAGAAGGAAGCCAGGGCAGACGCTGCTGAGAGAAGTAGCAGCAACCCATGTCTCACCTCAGGCCAAGGCCAAGACTGTCTGCGAGGGCGTGCATACTCAGAGTTGGGGATCAGGCTCTGTCCTGGAAGGACTCCAGAGAGCACCCCACCTGTACAGAACCTGGTGGGGCCATTGAGACTGCAGCATGCCACCGCCAGTCAGCACTGCCTTCGAGGGTTTGCTCACTCCAGTGGCCGCCAGGACAGTCAGGTGGGGCGGAGGCGGGGCCCTGGGCGAGCAATGGTAGTGGAGAGGCTAGTGCTTGCACCTTCTCTCCTGTCTCTGTGGTGCAGCAGGCTTGCTGCCCACTGCTCAGGTGTGCCTGGCAGTATTCATCTCATGGAGTGCCCATGTGCTGGGAGCTCTCTTCCGTGGCTGGCTTCTTCCAATCGCCTTTTTTTGGTTGTTGTTGCTGTTGTTTTTTTTATTTGTATTTATTTATTTATTTTAAAGATTTATTTATTTATACAAGAACTGGGGTACAGGTCAGAGGTGCTGGAGGGTGGGAGAATTCACCAGAGAGAGCAGGGAGCAGAACAGGTGTAGCTTAAATGTCCTATCATCTCAGAGTCCACCTAATGTAGGGCAGGTCCCCGGCCTTATACTGAACTGGTTTCCCCTTTCTTCAGAACTCTCGTTACAATTTATAATTACTTGATTTGTGAGTTTACTTCTTTCTTATCCGTCTTCTCTGCTGTATTGTGAGCTCCATAAGAACAGGGGTTTTATCTGATCTGTTCACTGATATATTCCCCAAAGCTAGAATACAGTAGACATTATTTATTTATTGAGTGAGTAGGAATTAGGAGAAAACAACAGGACAATGTTTTTTAAAAATATTGTCAAGATATCTAACATACAGTAAAGATAAAACTGCCGTGAATGAACATTTATTCATACAGTTGAAATATATAAAACAACTGGTTTTAGAAAAACCACAATCATGGTGTGAGACTGTAACACATAGCTTTCAGTCCTTCCTTGACAGAAAAAATAAAGATATTGCACATTTGAATCATATAACTCAGCATGATTTAACTTCCTGAATTGTACCCTGCAGGCTGAGAATACACACCTTCCATATGTATGGAAGTTGGTCTCGTTAAAATGAGAAACATGATGTTATTATTGATACAAAGGAAATTTAAAAGTGTTAAGTGAGTACCCTTATGATTATATCCTAATTGTTATTTTGTGAATGTTTTCCTAGAAAATAAAAATGATCAAAATGACCAGGAAGAAGTAGAAAGTTGTTAAGGAATTAACTCTTCCACAAAAAGACAAACTCAGACTACTTGTAAATGAGTTTTCCCAAACTTTTAATAATCAGATATTTCTTATGCTGCTTAAACTGCTTCAAGATAGAAAAAAAGATGTGATGCTTCCCAGATTATTGTATGAAACAGATAAAATACTCGTGCCCAAACCTAGAGTGTTACCACATAAGAAAACTACAGGCACACTTCACTTAGGACTATTTCTCCACGAATCACTTAAAGCATTAGCACTTCTGGTCTTTTAGGAATGCAAGAATATTTAATATTTCAAAATATATTAATTTTTAACAATGGATAGGCAGGGAGAGCAAATCATCGCAATAAATACAAAACCATTTGATTAAATCCCACTTCCCTTCTTGATTAAAAACGAGACAAAATAACAACAGAAAATTTGTAGTTAATTGGACTAGAGGAATACATCCTTAATTTAATAAAAGTAAAAAAAAAATCTCATCTTAAACCAGAAGCTAATGTTACATGTAATGATATAAGTGCATTCCTGTTAAAGTCAGAATCGACTCTAGAATGCCCATTATCATAGCTAATATCCAATATAGGTCCAGAAATTCTAGGCAATGCAATGAGAGAAGAAAAAGAAGCAGCCTGTTAAGATTGGGGACAAAGGAAACAAAACCATCTATGTTTACTGACAATATGATTATCTAGATTTGAAATGAAAGGGAAGAACAATGAGAGTTAAGGAGACAACTAAGGTTGTAAGTTAGAAAATACTTGAAGCAGAATCTAACAGCTTTCTTATACACCAGCAATGTTCAGCTAGAAAATGTGGTATATATGCTATACCATAGACACACACACACACACACACACACACACACACACGGTAATAAGCATAAGAAAGGTGCACGACCTATCTGAACGCAGCTACAAACCTTACTCATGGGCATGAAAAGAGAAGTAAATGAGTGGAGAAACAAACCCAATGTTGAATGAGAAGATTTTGTACAGTTATCAGTTCTCTTCAAATGAGTCTACATTTAACTGAATTCAGGCCCAGCATATGAAGCACGCAATTCCTGTTTTTTTTGAATGAATGTAAAATAAGTGAACATGATTACCATAAAAATATTATTAGGATTTTCTTTTTACTTGACAGAATGAGTCTAATGTTCATTTTCAAGTTCTTCAGAGTTGAGAATGAAGTTTTGATAGTGAAGACTAATGAAGAATTATCACATCAGTTATAATATATAACATGCAACAATAGAAGATAGCTGTAGCAGTGGCATTGGTGCAATAATAGACAGATTAGTGGAATAGAATAGAAAGTCCAGAAACAGACCTAGGATTATCTGAGGACTTAGAATATGATGATGATGTCACAAGTGGGAAAGACTGGACTGAATAAATGGGATTAGGACATTGAAAAAAATCTGTTTCTACTTCATAACATATTACAAAATATGTTTCAGGTGATTAAAGAGTTACACTTAAAAAGTGGCACTCTAAGAGTATTAGAAGGAAATGCTACAGTGTAGAATCATTAGCAAAAATCAGTAACTGAAAGGCAGAAATAGTAAATAAACTAATAGGTTTTGTTACATAAAACATTTTTAACTTTGGAACTCCCAAAACATCATACAAACTTAAAGGTAGCTGACAACCTTGAAAAATACTTGCAAATTATATGACAGATTAAAGTCTAAGTTTTCTATTATGCAGCAAGTATATGAAAGATATAAGCTTGCTGATCACTAGAAGTACAAATGCAAGCCAAAGAGATACCATTACTTTGGCCATCAAATTGGCAAACAACAACAAAAATGTGAGGATGCAAGAAAACTGGCACTTCCCTGCACTGCTGGTAGACGTGTACCTGGGTACAGCCTTTCTGGAGGATAACATGGCCATGGCCAAGAGCCATTCCTTAAGAATTTATCCTCAAAATTTCTTCATGATTATCTGCAAAAATGTAGCTCCAATGATAATCATTACAGCGTTCTTTATATTATCAATAAATTATGAACAACCCAAATATCTTTGTATGGGGTAATAGTTAACTCAGTTGCTACAGAGCTGTATCATGGTGTGCTGGGAAGTTGTTAAGGATAGTGTTGGAAAATATTCAATAGTGTGGATGAACCCATGCTCCGGGGAGAGCCTCATACAAATAAATTTAAAAACAAGTTGTTTGAAGTAGTGAAGAAGAAGGGTCAAGAAGGTTTTATTGTGTCTAAGGCCTTGATTTTTATCGGTAAATAAAGAAGCCAACATACTTGCCAAGAGTTTCTGATTTAGTTGGAATCCATATTGTTTCCAAGTTGATAATAGATTGGGCTTTTGAATGTCGATGCTGTTTTTCAGGGGCAAGTTAACTACTGTAAATCAGTTTACAGCACAACAGAGGGATGTGTCGGCCTCTAGCTTAAGAATTTTTAAATTTTAGACTCAGTCTTTCAGTTTCACAGCAGAATTACATTCTGATTATTAATAGTACCAAAGCTGTTATGAGATGAAAGTACAATGTCTGTTAGCTCTTAGATTTTTCCATAATTAACTTAAGCAAAGAAAATTACAATTAAGGAGTCACAGAAAATGATAAATACTTTATATGTTGAATTATTTTACTTTCTCTTAAGGTTTTCCATATTCTTTGGCCCCAAGTGAGTATCTTCTCTGGAGCAACGAAAATGCTGATGGACAATCTCTGGAACAAGACTCTACCTGGGAAACTATGCTACCTTTTTTCTTCCCAACCAGTAAGTTGATTTTTTTCCTCCAGATAATCCTCTTTTTGAAAACAGTATTTAAATGTTGAAGAGGCAGTGTGGTCTATTAGCACTGGGGTGGGACAGACCTGATTTTTCATCGTGACTCTGCCCTTCCCTTAAGCAAGACAACCTCTCTGAACTTAAGTGTCTGCATCTTTAAAATGAAGAGACTGACCACAAAGAATTGTAAGGATGAGCTGCTATGATATTTTTAAGGCATTCCATACATAAACATTTGTTGCTGTTTTTAAAATATCTTTTCTTTATAAATCTCTAAACCGTTCACAACTATCTTAATGGCATCGTTTGAAGCATAGTCACTGACTCAGTGTTATGAAATGTATGTCCTCTGTGGCATTAATCGGGTATTGTGGGACTGGTATACCAGATGTTTTCCCATCTGTTTTAATGATAAAAAGTTCAGGTTTCAAGTCACATCGTCTTTTTGTGAGTCTGTATATGTCTGTATATGTTTATCCAGCGCATGATGACTCCTGAGAATTATTAACCACAAATAAACACCAGCCTGTGGTGCCCTTTCAAGGAGATGCTTCAAATAAATTGACATATGTGAATTACAAAGGTGAAACTTTTATTAAAAATCATGCAGAATTTATTCTAACAAAATGCGATGTACATCTATAAACACACAATTATTTCCATTGTTTAATTCCAGACTCTACCACTGAGTTCTTCTGTGACCTTGCATAAATCTCTTCCTGTTTCTCTGAGCTGGTTTCATCAAATACAAAACAGGCATTATAACACCTACTACCAATGAGAATAGCAAAATAAACAAGCTCTTGCAGTAAATTAAAAAACTGCTGTGCTCCCAATGAGTGGAGAAAGTGATGTGTTACAACGCTGAAAGAAGGACTTAGTGAAGCCAAACTTGGTCATAAACAGCAAATGATGATTTAAATTTTAGAGTTTATGAAGGCAGCAGATGTAAACTGTCCCCAAATTACCTAGATAACTACGTTGTACTTACACGGAAGCCACCTTTAAAACGAGTCTGAGTCAAAATTAACTGTATGAGATTTTGCCCAAAATTCAAACTGTTCCATTTTTAAGAGAAACATCTGAGTTAGTAAGTTGATTAAAAGCTTTCAAAACTGTGATTAAATATTTATAATATGTATATATATGACCTCCTTTGAAAAGAATACCTGCAAGTTCATAAAATGTGAAACAGTTTTAACCAACTTATTTCCTCCTCTGTACAAGTGAAAATGAGCACTGCTTGCATGTAAGCACTAAAAAGAAGTGTATTTTTTCATTAGGCTTTTGTTGGTCTAAGGTTCGTCTCTTGCAGATTAAAATGATAACCTCGAGACCAGCATCAAGGACGCTTGGGCGGGCACGTGATGCTTCTCCCTTTGGACAAAATTAGCTACTTAAACCTGATTAAAATTGTTCTACCCTTTTTAGTCTTCAAAATTACAAGTATGTCTCAGTAATTTGAGTCTGAAAGTTAATTTTAGTATCTAGCATCAAGCCCATCAGATGAAGTTTTAAGTAGAAAATAACAGAAGCTGGGCATCACAAGGGACTTTTGAGGTCATCTTGTCCAGTTTTTCCTATGATTTAAGATCTTTTCTATGATTTTCCTTTCTGGAAAGTGGTCTTTGAACAATGCCTACTGTGACATACCCAAAATACAGGAAATTCATCCCATTTTTCACCAGGCCCTGATTACTGTCACCCTTTTCTGGGTATGTGAGGCCCACTGCTGAACGTGGTAATCCAGATGCAGGTCGACCTGTGGAGAGTCACTCTGGGCCTGGCAAAATGCAAAACAGATTTCTTAGCGTACGTAACTCCAGACTAGGCTAAACTCTCACATGTTTGGGGAGTGAATATCCAGGCCATCTGGTAATGCCTTCATTTGTGACCTTGCACAAGTGTCTTTGGATCTTTATTTCTTTCCTTTTTAAATGGAGGATGAAAAACTCATTTCGAGACTTGTTGTGAAGATTGGTAATAATGTATGTAAAGCAGGATGCCTGGCCCCAGGAGGTAGCTGTTACAGCTTTCACCTTTGCTTTAGAAATTGCCAATCTTTAGAGAGGGGGGAGATAATTAAATATACCGCAAAAAAATACTTCTAATCATTGTATTATTCTTTGCTGAAGTTGAAGTGCTGAACAGTGATCATAAGACATCAGTTATTACTTTTCTAAATCTGCAGTTGACGTGTTGGAAATTGAACTGAATCTATGCTCGCCTTTAGCCATACCGTGGAGATTTTCTTTTTGAATGAAAATCTGTTATCTTCCTTTTCAGTTGTCATTTGTTTCTCTTACGAAGCAGGATGTTTAAAAAGATCAGCTATTCAAGCATGTGAGTCTTAGAGATTTAAATATGTATGAATGTATTGGAGTTCTATGATTCTTGGTGTTTATGCCTATTTAAAATTACAGAATCATAACTGAAAGCCAAAAGGAAGAATCTTAAAGCATATCGTGATGCCAATGTGATTGGTGTTCACAGGAAGTAGGTCAATACCAATAGTATCATTTAGCCTCACTCTCTAGCAGTTGACTGTGTGAATTTGCCTTGCATTCATTGGCATGGATGCAGTCAGTGAGTAGCTTGGTAAAATCGAGTGAGGAGCTATCTGTGGTATTATTTCAACAAGGTGTTAGTTTTAATGGCATTTGTTCTACCTCCTTCTCTGTTGTATTTGCGGCACCACCACTCAACTGATGATTTATTGCCCTTTAAAAATTACCTTACCATTGATCTGTTAACAATTTATGTTTTTCTCCAGTTCATCTACAACTGAAAATATGCTGTTAAAATAACTTTGTGGTAATTGTTGGTTTAACTCATTTTTTCCACATTCATCATTATTTATGTCATTCAATTTCTTCTTCAAATGTGCCGGCTTAAATGTTTATGTTTTGAATTGTTTTTGTCTTGCAGTAATGACTTAACCAGGGAAGTTGCTTATTAACCATGCTGAATTATCTTTCTTGGATTTTGTTTCTAAAAGCGTGCATTCCAAAGGAAGACCAGGTGGTGGAAGCTTGCACTGGACTGAGAAATCTTAACCGGAGTGAATGTTTGAAACTCAAATGCTGTTATTCATCACTCGGGATCAATAACCTCAACTGTTTTACCCCGTTAGAAGATAGTAAGTTCATCCTCTTACATTTGTTTTTTTTTTTTTTAAATTGAATTAACAGGTCACATGGCATAAGTTTAAATTCTCATCTTTCAGCTTACCACTTAAAGGGGGCTCCAGCCTGGAGCAATAGTGTCCTTTAAAAGTCCTGGGGGGTCAGGCCTCTTTTCACGAGCAACGTCTGCTTAGCTTTTAGATGTGAGAGACAGTTAAATTTCGTCTCTCCTGGTCTTTTGCTTTAGTACATCCTGTCTTGTACCCTCAGCCCCATCTGACACAGCTTAACTTTTCTCCTGTGACCCTCTCTTTCTCAGTAGAGTTCTTCCCATTTATCTTGTGGACATCTCAGTATATAACAGAATGTTTCCCGTTAAGCTCTGTTTATGAGTTTCTTTTTATTCTGTTGTTTTGAATTAGGTTCTTCTCTTAAGAGGATTTTTTTTTTTTTCTTTACAAAATTTTGAGTACCAGACCATCTGTTTTTGTGCTTTCACGGATACTGGAGACTTATTAGAGACTTATTACTTGTTGGTCCCATGATAGATATATTTGATATGATGAAGCACTAACAAATACTACAAAAAGGATGCATGCAAAAATAATGTCTTAGGTTAACATAGTCGCTATGCAGTTCATAGCTCTTTGCTGAACATCTAGTATTAATAACGGCAACTGAAACCTGATCATGAATATACTATTACAATTTTAACACTGTCACATGCTGTTTATAATTCATTCATCAGTTTAGTCTTCATATTATGTATAAAGAGACATTTGCTTTTTTGTAGAGGAAAAAATTGAACCGTGACTTACAATTCCCCAATCACATTAGAATGCATTTCCGAATGAGTATAAGAATAAAATATGCTTATTCACCTGCAAATTCTTGATTTCCTGTTTAATTTAATGTTTTACAATTTGGAAGTAAACATTTAAGGAACCATTTCTTTATCAATTTAACTATTCGTAGATTAATTCACTCCTCAAGTGCTCTAGGATGTAACGTATGGCCAAGGAAAAAACACACTTAAGCTGTAGGAAGAAATATACAGTAGGAAACATAAAAACCCACTATCAAAAACAGTAGTATCATTTTGGTAAGGCCTCCGTGGGGGGCAGGTATTTAAAGTGTAGCCTTTAGTTGTATTTTAAGAACATTTCATAAACTTCTGCTACTTAGAGAATAGCAAGGATATTTACCTGTTATATAAGAATACCTCTTTATTTTACTCAATTATTAGCTGATAGTTTTTTTATAAAGACTTTATGAAAGAGCTCAGATTTGCTTCTCTTGCTTAAATCATAAAAGTAACAGGATCTTATGAAACCCACAGAGCCTTCACAGATGTTCCGGATATTTGTGCTTGGTCTGATCACCATGATCATCCTGGCATGCCTGCCCCTTTGCTGCTGCGCTCTCTGGCGGAAGAGGTAGGCACACATGTCAGCTTTGATTTGCTTACCGCTGGGTGTACTCGGAGATTTCTGTGTTGACACACTTACCCACATGCGCCAGAACCACAGCGGTAATGCTTGGGTCCTTTTAATGTAAAAAAAAAGGTAGCTTGAGAAAAACCTAAAGATCTACCAAAATAGTTTTTAAATGGCCTGTTTTTTTTTTTTTTTTCTTTCCACCCATCTAAGATGTCTTTTTGCATAGTTTGTCCATTCCCACAGCAAATGAAATCCCAACTGGAAGGAAAAGGAAAAACAAATCCTGGTGCTGGGGCAGTGTGAAATGGAAGTGGGCCTAATGCTTTGGTGTGTCGTCAAGCCAGTTCATATCAGATTCCATCTCAGTATTGTACAGAAAATCCCCGTGGACCACTGACATACTTTTAAATTTGTTTATTTTCAAGACTGCCCCCCACCCCCACCCCGCTGGGCCAGGACTAGGGAGAAGTGAGTGAGGCACTTGAGCACAAAATCGAAGTAGATGCTCACACTCAGGTTTGTACAAATGCAGGGTCAGCGCCAGCACTGTCCTGAGAGTACCGCCTTACATTCTCTGGCAGAAAGAAGGTCCCTGTGGGCGACTGAGCCCTTTAATCTTCCAGGTTGTGTGTGGCCATGGACTCTTCTTTGGCCCCCCAGTTAGACACATGCACCGATATTTTTCTCAATGTTTTCTCTATTGCTATTATGATTTGTATTATTTTTTCAATACAGTTTTGTTGATTAACCATTATTTTGCAAAACCATAGAATTTCAGGAGTGCAGCTTCACGCCTTGCACATGCACACGCTCCCGGGCCGCTCTGGCACATGGGTCCCCAAGTCTTTCAGTTTCCACTTAACTCCTTGGACTGAGTGGGTAACCTCTAGTCCTAGACCTTCTCACATTTGTTCCCCCAGGATTGGGGGTAGAAGTGGAATTTTTGACCTTTCCTTTTCCCTTGATTTCATATAAAACTCATGAATAAAAGTGAAATAACACTTGGTGGCAGTTGGTGGCTAGGATGGTGCTGTTCCATTTAGCGAGTGCCTGCGAGACTTGTCCTGGTAGAATCATTTCATCACGGCCCTTCTGTCATGCCTCTGCCGAGGAGTTTTTTGGGGATGTGCCAGTACACTGCGTTTTCCTCTAAAATCTCTTCCAAAGGGCTACCCCCCGATAAAGTGTTTTTTTCTTCCTTCTACATAATACAGTTGCTTGGGAGACTTGAACCTTGTGACCATCACATGCTGGAACGCCATACAACTTGGTTTATTATGATTATTTCTTAACTTATTTCACTCTTGTGGTAGAGTGATATGTCCCTTTGCCGTCCCGAGTGGCTAGTCACACCCCAGAGCCGCTGTCGGCCTCCTGCTCAGCTGGATTTCCCTGAACGATGTCTGAGGGTGGCTCGGGCACTGTCAGCTTTTCCTGGTGAAGCTGATTTTACAGGCCAGGGAACAATTGTTTGGGAATGAAGATCCACCCTCGATACCGCACAAGGGGCTTAAGCACAGGCCGACTCCGGCGATACCCCCTTGTGTGTGTGTGTGTGTGGTGGGAGGGACAAGTACCCTTTAAAAAACCGTCTCCTTCACTTGCCTCCTTTTATTCATTTCAAACAATAGAGATAAAATATTACAATAGGTAAAAATAAATGAACCCATCAAAGGGAAAGATGCAGCAGTAAAATCAATGTGCAGTGACTTGACAAAGAAAAGCCCAAACACTGTATTCTGTCTACGTCTGAGGGGCTCAAAGCCAGTTGCAGACACAGGAGCATACCTGGGCCTCCTGGTTGGAAGGCCTCTGCCTGAAGCGTTGGGAGTCATCCTTTCGCTCCCTCCTGTGCATTAAGTATGAGTTCCTCCCGGAGAAAGCTGTTCTTGCTCTCCTCTGGCCTTCAGTCTAAGCCAAAACAAATGATGTTTTGACATTCTGTGGCTCCTGCATTTTGGACAGTGCTTTTTCTGCAGATCACCTAAGGAGCTAGCGACAGACAAGAATTGGAGGGAGGAAAGGTGAGAAGTAATCGGAGCAGATGGGGGCAATGAAAGCCCTTTGGGTGAAGAGAATAATCGCTCTCCAGAGTCGAATGGTGCCTGGCTCATATTTTCCACAACTGACCGTATTCGGTCATCATTTGCTTGTGGTAGCTATTATGGAGGATTTGGAAACGTCGAAGTCATATGTCCTACTTCTGAGGAGCTTAAGTCTCCCTTAAAATAAATCCCAAGCGTGGCACACTAAGTAACAACATAAAATGGATTATAATTAAGGGTAGAAGTGAGAGATGGGCAGAACTTGTAAAAGTTCTGAGGCAGTGGAGGATCAGGGTGAGTGGGAGAGGGCAGGGTTGGCTCCACAGCAGAGGTGCTACTTGAGCTGTGTCTGAAGGGAGGGGAAGATTTGGATTAGATGGAGGGGATCCTCCCACAGAACTCGTCACACCCCATGGTGTCTCCCCACCGTAGACGCCTTCACTGTCACTTCTCAGCAGAGGCGGTTGAACTTTGTCCCCGAGCCTCTATTTTACTTCCACTTGACTTGAGTTCAGGTGTAATGTGAACCAGGCACACAGAGCTCAGGCCGGCTCCAACTGGTTGCACATACACAGAAGGGGCAGAGAACATTAGGGAAAAGCTTTCTAAGAATTTGCTACTAATAGCCTTATTAAACTCGCATGTAAGGTGTGTTTTGAAATCCATTACGTTGTCAAGGTTATGTAAGATCTATTTTTATTCTCATTAATAGGGATCAGACTCCTCATTAGGTTTAAGTGTCACTGGTAGGCTTAAGACTTATGTAGAGATGAAGGAAGGAAAAGATCAGGTGGATGGGGACAAAAGGAAGGAGGGGACAAGGTGAGGAGAGGGGAACTGGCCTGTTACAGTCGGAGAGCACCAGTGACAGAAGTGTCAAGTGCCAAGTTCAGTTTCTAGTCTGTGGATAAAGTGGCATCTGTCTGCATCCTCCAGTGACACATCTGTGAGCTGCATGAGATGCCACTTGAGTGTCACTAGCTGCGCTAAGGTGGAGAATCGAGACATTCTAACACCACCCCTTGAAGTCGCTCCATTGTCACGTTCCTTTTCTTCCTATCGGATTGCATTTGTAACTTTGAATTAAGAATTCAGAACTCAGTCTGCAAAAGACAAAGCTATGCTTGCTTTCAACTAATAAAAAAGCCATTTTTTAAAGAAGACTGTGGCTCATCTGATACCCAGGTGATGGAAATAGTGCGTCCTCCATACACTCCGTGCTGCTGCTCGCCAGATGGCTGCCCTGTGCCTCTCTCCATTTAGACAAATCCCGCTGCGTGGATCTCTGTATTATAATCTACTTTTCATTATGCAGATAGTCTTCCTACCACTGACTTTCTTAGAATGGGAGGTAAATAATCGGGAGTAAGTGTGTCAAAAATTGCCTAAAAATCATCACCCATTGAGTTTTTAAAATACTCGTTTGCATTTTCCAATCCCTGCATGTGTGTTTCATAATACTGTACAACATAGTTAGTGCTGTTATTTTGAAAAGCTTTATGCAGTCATTAGACAACTGCTGAAAGGTTCGAGGTTCCTAGCATTACGTACAGTGAATTCAGAGAATGAAAATGCAGTCTGTACATTTTCAAAGTCTGGCTGGGCGCTTGGAACTCTGATAACATATGAGCAGGTGCGGGTGTGCGCACCTGGGACCCTGCTCCAGCTTGAGTCATCGTAGACTTGGATTCGCATAAAGCCAGTTCTCCTTGGACCCTGTTCAAGGTAATTGAGTTACTGAAATAATGAGAGAACCTCATTATATGCGGATTATATGTCTGAGGTGTTTCACTGCAAGGACACCAACTGCGGCATTTTAGAGAATTCTGGACACTTAGGTTCTGTTGAATAGAGCCGTTTGTTGCCAAGTAACTAATAACCTCATTGCCACCCTCACTGCCAAATTGCCAGTTGACCTTTTGGTCACAGAATACTGTTGATCGCTCCCTTCTCGAAACCTTTCCTTCCTTGGGTTTCGTTGCGTCCCTTGTTGTTCTGGTGCTCGGTGGCTGTTCTTCGTTCCCCATGGTTGTCTGCCCACGCCTTCCTCGCGTCGACTCTTAAACCGAATCCTGAGAGCCTCGCCTCCACCTGTTCCTTGTTTCCAACTGCCCTCCTGAATTAGATGTTGGGATAGCGCCTAAAAGCCACACATGCACAACTGGACTTACCTTCTTTCTCTCCCAAATCATCTCTCCTTGACACCAGTCATGTCTGTCACTGATTTCTTTAGTCTCCCGGGCGAGAAGCCTGGGAGTGACCAATGACTGTTTCCTTTATCACCGCCATGGGTCTCTCTGCCAGGTTGGTTCCCCTTGGCGTGAGTCAGGGACGCCCCTCCTCCCATTTTATTGTCATGTCTTAGTCCAGGCCTTATCTTGGGCAGGTGGTTGCAGGAGAGGAGCACAGGGTACCAAGGTGTGTCAGTCCGTCTTCTGGGGCTGCTGTCATGGAACCCAGCGCGGGGAGGGCTGGGTAAACAACAGGCATGTATTTTCTCAGAGTTCTCAGGGTGGCTGTCTGTGATCCAGGTGCCAGTTTGGTGTCTGGCAAGATCTCTCCTGCTGGCTTGCAGGTGGCCACTTTCTCACCATGCTCCCATTGCCTTTCCTTGGCGCGTGCAGGGGTGGGGAGAGAGGGACAGAACACACTCTCTGGGGTGTCCTTTTATAATAACAGAAATTTGGCCAGATCAGGGCCCCGCTCTCATGACCTTATTTGACCATAATTACTTCCTTAGAGTAGAGACCCCATTTCCAGTTACAGCCAAACTGGGAGTTAAGGCTTCAGCCTGTGGATTTGAGGGACATAAGCATCCACTCCATGACACCAGGCTAGCTGGCAGCCAAGGGCAAAGGCACGACTGGGGGCTGGGGGGGCATTGTGGTGAGATGTCCAGCCTGAGGAGTTCTTGCAGGAGAGACAATGACTGGGATGCGCTGCAAGTGGCATTTAGAAGATGGCAGGGGGGGGGGTCCTGGAGAAGTTCCCTGGCACTCTAGTAGGAATATATGGCTGTGCCCTCGGGTAAGGAGAGAGTGAATAAGGATGCTTGCAAGCCAATTTAGACACGTGCCTTGACTTCCAATCTATTTTCCTTCCTTTCATCCTGTCGTGTCCTGCCAGACTTATCTTCCTAAAATAGCACTATTTCATTCCGCGGTAGCCTTCAAGAACTTCTAATGCATTCAAGAATATCTGGATTCTAGGCCTTGTGTTAGGTGCCATGAGAGACAAAAAGTTGAATCAGATCGTGCCCTGTGTTCTGAAGGCGCGCATCCTCTAGCAGGGGCTGGGCGCAGACATCAGGGTAGGAAGTCACATCCCATTAGGAAAGTGCACATCAAACCACTCGGCGTGACTGGCCTTGTCCAGTGCATGTAGCATTTTCACACACATTGTCAATTTGTTTGACCTTCAAAACAGATGTAGGGAGGTTTGGTTTCTTGCTCAAAATCATATCCTGATAGAGCAAGGATTTCAATCTTTCTTCTAAGTTCCTTGTTTTTTGTACTATAGGAAACAGGGAGAAAAGAAATGTGGATAAAACGACAATGCATTTTGTTGCTTAAGTTCACTCTTAGGGCTGCACTCTCCAGGTCACCTATATTGGACTCCTGTAACTCCAACAGTGTTTTTTTTTTTTTTTTGTTTTTGTTTTTGTTTTTTTAAATAACACTCCATGTATCTTTTGCTTTAGCCAGAGAGATAGCTTGACTTTTCATATCCTAGAGTTTATTTGCATCTGTTATTTTGCCCATGATGCTCCCGGGCCTTGGAGTTTCTCTATCCGCTTCACCTTGAATTCTTTCTCTACTTCAACTCTTCCATCAAGCACTTTACAAGCGCTGCAAATCCCACCGTTTTCTCTGTTCTCAGAAATTCTTTCTGCACTTGTGTTCTTTTTTTTTTTTTTAAAAAAAAGATTTATTTATTTATTTGTTTGTTTGTTTATTTATTTATTTATACAAGCACTGGGTACAGTCAGAAGCGCGGGAGAGTGAGAGAATTCACCAGAGCCAGAGCGGGGAACAGAACAGGCAGACTGACAAAATACACTGCTGAGGGGAGCAGCGGGCGGCAGGAGAGGTCTGCGCGCCATGTGGGACCCAAGCCAACAGCCGGGGATGGAACCGGCACTGCAGAGGCCGCAGGCAGCTTCGCAACCCAGCGCTCAACCGCTGTGCCACCGGGGAGGCCCTAGTTTTCCTTTTTTTAAGATTTATTTATTTATTTATACAAGAACTGGGGTACAGGTCAGAGGCACAGGAAGGTAAGAGAATTCACCAGAGACAGAGTGGGGAGCAGAACAGGCAGATGGACTGAAGATACCGCTGAGGGGAGCAGCAGGAGAGACAGGAGAGGTCTGCCGTGCCATGTGATTTCTCCCTGGCCGGCCGGGAATCGAACCTGTACGCAGTGTCAAGCTTCCCTGCCTCTCTGAACATTCCACACGGCACACTTGCCTGTTGATCGAAATGCTCTTCCTCGGCTCTTACCTCCACTCTCCTCTGTCTGCACCACTCCACTCAGGTGCAGGCCTCAGCTTAGCTCTCATCTCCTCTAGGAAACTTACCCCAGACCTTCTGCCCAGAGTGGGTCAGACTTCTTCCTGTTCTTCTACCAATCTCTGCTCACCTCTTCTTGTAGCATCTAAATGCAATACAGCTATATTTGCCTTTCTATCTGCCTTCCCTTCTAAATTGTAAGCTCCTTGAGGGAAGGTCCCATGTCTTATTCATCTTTATGTCTCTAGTATGTAGAAGAGTCTTTCTGCCATAAATATGCTGTCAGTATTGAATGTGTGTGGGAAGAGTTGACCTGAACTTTTCAAGGATGAGTATGCTGGCCAAAATATGTAACATTTTATATGAAAAGAAGAAACTCGCCTCTAGGACACTAAACAGATCATTTTCTCCCTTCATCCCCCCTTAGACATCCACATTGGGTAGAATATCTAGCTTGGGATCACGGCACTGTTGGCATGCTAGAAGGCTGAACCTAAAACCGAGTCCTCTGTCACCTAGACCAGTGCAATGGCCTTTTAAGTACTAAGACTGCGCTGCATTCTCCTTTATTAATTAATGTGAAATGTACACACTACTAGATTTAAAATGAAACCTGTGGGACCTCCCCAGTGGCGCAGCGCCGAGCGCTAGGTTGCGAAGCTGCCCACAGCAGCCTCTGCAGCACCGGTTCAATCTCCAGCCATCGGGTGAGGGTCCCACATGGCGCACAGACCTGTCCTGCTGCCCACTGTTCCCCTCAGCAGTGTACCTCATCAGTCTGCCTGTTCTACTCTCCACTCTGTCTCTGGTGAATTCTCTCACCTTCCCGCGCTTCTGACTATACCCAGTGCTTATATAAATAAATAAATAAATAAAATCTTTAAAAAAAATAAAATGAAACCTGTGGATTAAGCAAATATAGTAATTGAAGTTATGCAAAGTAAGATGTATTGAAGTCACAGCGTTAGGGAAAAAGCATGTCCTCAATTTCTTATGTAAAATTCTGAAATTCAAAAAATGTTTCAAACCTAAAGCTATTTTTTTCTGAACTTATTTGGCAGCAAAACTTGATCTGACCTTACCTGAGACATTTTCTAGTCGTGATTTAATGCTTAGAGTGAATATTCATGCATTTTGCTGCAGAAATATTACTGTGTTTGATCATGAGATGCTCCCCCAGGGTCCCATGGGAGTGTCGTGTACTATCTTGCCATATTATCTTTCTAAACCCAAAATATTCCACATTCTGAAGCACATCTGGCCCCAAGGAACTGAGAATTATATAGTTCTTTCAGTTATTATTATTATTTTTGAGACTGTAGTTAATAGCACTGCAGTGTAAAGCAACCATAGGTAAATCATAGAAATATATTTGTGACCTTCACCCACTATTTCATTTATACCCGGAGACTTTTTTATGATTAATTGAGAAAAAGGCATTTATTTACTACACATCTGTCTTACCTAGTGGAACTCAGTGACAACCCAGTAATGCGGTTTTAGGGGAGAATAGTGAGTGTTACCTTCAGAGTCATCATTTCAAAGACAGGCTTATCTATCTCTGGGCTCCAGAAGCTCAGAACCCGGCTGCTCCGCGCAGCTGAGAGCACTGGCAGGGGCCACTGTTCCTTCTGGGAATTGCTTGGCTGAGGATGGGACTGTGTACCTGTTGTTACCTCTTCATAGTTTTGTATGCGAATCTTCGCTCTCTTTTGGGTTTCCAGCCCTACCTCCACCTGGAATATTCCTCCTTTTTCTCATTGGTTTGTGTTTAGGTCTTTAGAACATGAAACATAAACATAAAAATCAACTGTGTTTTGTGAAGCCCCATTGGGTCCCAGGTTCTCGGGGTTATATAGTTGCAGAGTAAGGTTGTAGCCTGACGTTATGTCCAAGCTCGGAGGGCAGTGGGAGACAGGGAATGTGTACAGTCATGTGGGAAGATAGCCTTTTCCTTGTAATCCCTCCCATCGTTAGTGTCCTATCACTGCTGAGAAACAAGATTTCACTTTGAACTTCTAATATTCCAGCAAATGGGCCAATCCTTTACGAAGGAAAGTCAACAGAATAGTAAAGAGTTTGAAGAAACAAAGAATCAAACAGAAAAAGGATGCTGAGATGTTGAGGCCAGCGATGGAAGGCGAGGAGGCATTTGGTGATGAGAAGGAGGAAGAGAGGAGAGGTAATTCGCAATAGGATGTAACGTTGAGGATTTCATATCTGACTCTGTCTTATATCATCTTGGTGCAATTGATGCTTATTTCTTGCCCCACAAATATTTGGATCTCCCTAGTATCAGCTTTTGAAATGATATTATCACTTTGGATGGTAGGACAGTGGACAAGAAATGCGCCAGGTTGCTTGGGTGCCTCATTACTTGGCTGGTATACATGGTTTTGCCCTTCGGGGGAGCAAAGAAATGGAACTTCCATTTCCAAGTCTGATGCTAGGCAGTAATGGCCATAATCCCCCGAGCGTGTTGCTCATACCACCTGTCCAGGGTAAGAATCAGGGCTCAGGAGTCTGACAGTCCTGGGATTGAATCCTGGGCCCTGGCCACTAGTTTTAGCCTCCTGCTCTCCAGACTTACACAATGCAGTATTAGAAGAGGCTGAGAGAGGGGATCCTGAATCATACGTCACAGACTGACTATGTGAGCATCACTCACGCAGACTTACACATCCCCCAGGGTTGGCCTAGGCCTCCTCCCCAAATAATTGTGAAGGGCCAAATAGGAATAAAATGGTTGGTGAGAAAAGAGGTATACATGTCTGGGAACAGAGTCCTTACTGGACTGGGAGTCTGGAGACTCGGTATTTCCATGGAAAGACAAGTAGCTTAATACATCTCCTTAATACAGTCATCTGAGATGTGTGTGTGTGTGTGTGTGTGTAGCTTAAACAATATGATGTATGAAAAAAGTGCTTTGAAAATTGCCATGTGTTACTTAAATTTAAGGTGTTAAGTGACTTAATAGAAACAAAAGAAAATCCTTATACAGAAGGTTATACATGCATATATTACTTTGTATAAGTTGGTCGTGATTTGTGTGTGCTTATGTACACACATACGACAGTATAACTAGACTAACAAAACTTCATTTCTGTGGCCATCCTCCGGGGCATGGCAGTTAACTTTGTTATTCAGAGGTGTCAATGTAATGGTATTTGCTGTAGTGCATTTTGTGTGTATGCCTCACACACATAGTAATTAAGATAATACACGTTAAAATACGTAAGTCACTGAATACACAATACCTGGAAAATATGGAGCTCAATGCCACATTCAGTGTAGAGGGTATATCTACCTCATTCAGTGTAGAGGGTATATCTCTGCAGTGTAGAGGTTGCAGTCATTTCCCTTTATCACCAAGCATGACGCACAGGCATTCATCCTTTCAAGCTGCTTAACCCTACTTTGCTTTTGTCTGTAGCGTTATTTCATCACTAAGATGAACACCAGCCAGAGGAGAATGTCCCTGTCAAATACATCTGATGGAACATTTTAGAAGAACAAAAGCTGGTTCTTATTCTCATTACATTTGCCTCCAAATACAAAATAAAGTTGATACTTCTGTTTTTCTGCATCAAATCAGAGTCCGGATTTTTCTTTTTAAAAATAATTTCTATGGAATTTTAAAATTCAGGTGAAAAGCACTGCTGACATTTCAGGTGCTAAATGGTGATGTGATTTTTGCAGCTGGGGTTACATTGTTGACATTCACGTCTGTTGGTGCTACAGAAGGCAGATATTTCATGTTGTTCTTCACCCTCCAACAAAGTGGGGGAAAATTCCAGTGATCATATTTCAGTAAATGTGATAGTTTGTTTATTTTGAGGCAAGAGTAAAAATATTTTATAGTCAAGTTCTTTAATTTTATAGTTGATCACATTTTTTTCCACCATAAAATTCAGGATACATTCATTATAGAAAATCCGGAGACTAAGGATGTGTAGAACAGCAACAAAAAAATCAGCCATATCCCACTACTCAGAGCTGAGCACTTGTTATATTATTTTCTTTAAAATGTAAAGCTGGTTATGTGTTCTGTGACATATACAAGTTAGTTACGCTGATTGTTTTTTTTTTTTTTTTTAGAAAAAGTGTCTATCTTTTTTTATGATTCACATTCCTTTTTGAAATGTGGGAGCTCAAGTTTACCTGGGCTGCTTGCTCATTCATTCAACAAGCGTTGATGGAACCACATAGTCTGCTTACTGGGGTCACGGTCATGAACAAGGTAGACTTGCCCTTTCTTTGTGGGGCTCGCAGTGTAGCTGGGGAGGAAAGAGGTAAGAGGTGATGACAGGGGAGGGGGCCAGTGGACTGTGGGTGGATTGTGGGGGCTTTGGTGGTAGGTGGGGTGTGGTGGCACATCTGCAGTGGTGTGAAGCTGTACCCCTAAATCATATAACTGCTGTGAACGTTAAAAAAAAAAAAACAATTCAAAAAAGAAGTGTTGACAGGACTATGACAGGAGTGCTAAGTTCTGTGGGAGCAGATACCAGGGGCACCCAGCTCAGACTTCAGAAAGTGACATATTTTGAAAGGTAAGAAAGATTAGCAGGCAGGTGCCACGCCGTCACAGTGCAGCAGGAGGAGCGTTGCAGGAACGGAGGCCCAAGCGCGTGGGGTGTTTGGAGTGCTGCACGTAGCTCAAACACCGACGTAGTTGTTAGATCAGAAGAACTTTGGAGCCCGCTTTAAGGAGTGGGGTGGAGAGACTCTTCTATCCTGCAGATAGAAAGGAACTTAGCACTTTTCAGCAAAGGGATGGATGACGTGGGTGGATCTGTGTCCTTGGAGATCACTCTGATTAGTGCGTGAATTGGAAGGGAGCAATACCAGTTAGGGAACCAGTTATGAGGCTGTTTGTTGTATTAATGTGGGTGAAAAAATGTGGTGTTCTGGACTAAGGTCACGGCACCGGGGATACAAGTAAATAGATTTGAGAACCCTGTAGCATGCAGCATCGGTAGGACTTAGTGATTAATGTGGATGTGGGAAGAAATGGGGAAGTGAAGGGAGAACTTAAAGGCCAGGCTGGGTAGGGGAAGGTGAGTCACTCTGGATAGGAATGCCTGAGGTGCCTGTGGGCCATCCAGGTATGATGACTTGTAGTCAGTTGGATAAATGAGTCTGGAGCCCAGGAGAACGGTCTGCTGGATATAAAGGTTTTGGACTCATCAATATGTAGCATTTAATTGAAGTCACGGTGAATGATTATTTCAACCAGAAAAAGGGACTAATATAGAATCCAGAAGAACACAAGACTTTAAAGGATGATCAGAAACTGTCGGTGCAGGTGGCGAAGCATGAAGATAAGCAGGAAGAACAGTAAAGCAGGTTCTTGAATAACACCATTTTATTATAATGTTTTTTTAAAGATTTATTTATTTTTATACAAGAACCGGGGTACAGGCCAGATGCATGGAAGGGTGAGAGGATTCACCAGAGACAGACCAGGGAGCAGAACAGGCAGAAGGACCGAAATACACTGCTGAGGGGAGCAGCGGGTGCAACCATGTGGGATTCTTGCCGGCCAGCAGGGAATTGAACCCACACTGTGGACAGCTTCACAGCGCTCAACCCGCTGTGCCACCAGGGAGGCCCCATTTTATTATAATGTTAATGAGGTTAAAAGCCATCCTGGCTGGAGTTGGATGAATTGACTCAACAATGTTAATTGGAGGACAGGCTTTTACTATACGACCTTCCTCTTAAAGTTGTGAGAACCTGTGGGTGACATTGAGGACTTAACGTAAAGGAAATGCAAACCCGGTGGCTTGTTTCAAGGAAGAGGGAGTTTCAAAATTCTAGTTAATTTCCACCGGATTTGGTAACAGGGAAGTCATCAGGGATTTTGGTTTGGCTATAGCTGTTTCAGTGAAGAGGTAGGAGCAAAAACTAGACACCTTTGATTGCAGAGGGGCTGGGAGGTGAGAAAGTGAAAGCAGAGAGTGGGGACAACTGGTTGAAGAAGTTTGGTCTCAAAGGCCATCAGAGGACAGACCGAGCCGTGACTGGCAGTATGGGTGGGGAGAAGAGTTGTTTTGAGATAGGTGAGTAGAGGGAACCTTGAGTGGAAAGGCTGGGGATGGAGGGAATTGACAGCTGGCCCCGGGCCCCCACTAGCCCTGCTCTGTTTTTTTTTTTTTTCCATAGCTTTCATCACCTGTGAACGTACTATCATTTGGTTATTTATTTGGCTTATTATTTATTATTTGCCTTCCCCTGTCAGGATATAAACTCTCCTAAGGCAGGGATTTTTATGTATTTTTTCACTAGTGCCTAGGACAGTGTGGCACATAGTATTTGTTCAACCAATAAATTATCTATTGGATGACTGAATTAGAAACACAGATGTTTTTGTGGTGTTTTCACTTGTGCTGTGATGAGCAGACACTTCTAAGGTGAAATGAATCTTAGAAAGCAAGTCACACCAAGCACAGGGGCCTCTAAGACCAGGCCCTGTAGGGCTGCACAGGCTGTGCACCCCTGAAACCAGCTTGCAGAGACAGTCACACATGACATGTATGGCAAACCAAGTTATCACATACTAATCTCTCCCCCACCTCCACCTCTGCCCATCCCAGAAGAGAGAGAGGGAAGCTAAAGGAAATTGGTGTCAATCTTAACAACTGAAAAATCTACCAGACCTTTGCACGGTGTCAGCACACGGAGGGAGATGTAGGAGAAGACCAGGATCCACAATTGGCCCAATGGTCGGGGTAAAGACTTCTAGTCACACTCCTTGCTTTCCCCCATTGTGCCTAGGGTCAGAACCCACTTTTTTCCAGGTGGATATGACTGAAATTTTAAGAACAGATAACTTATAATACATCTTACAGAAATCATGTAAATTGTTCCAGAAAATAGAATAAGAGGAAAAAGTGCCCACCATTTTTATGAAGTTAGTATGCTGTAGATCTGCAATGAGATTGTGCAAGAAAATAATATTAGAGGCCAATTTAACTTAAGGACATAGATTCAAAAATCCCATGTGTGTGTATGTGTGTGTGTTTACTGATCCAACAGTGTACTGAGTTGGAATATAGGGATGTTTAGTCCTGGAAGGCATACAAATATAATCCTATTCATGGGATGAAGAAGAAAAGGTGCAGATGAAAGCAATTAATAAATATCAACATAGTCAATATAGAGAAATTTAGCAAACTAGAAATAGAAGAAAACTCCCATAAACTTATAAAAGTAAACTAAAATAAACATACCCAGTGGAGAAAATTTAGAAGACTTCCTTTAAGGGCTATAACAAGGCAATGGTGCTGGACTTCACAGCTGCAGTCGAACACATTACTAGAGGATCTTGTCAAAGAGAAAGAAATTACTTGTAAAGATTAAAAGAGGCAAACTCTGTTATTTGCATACAGTATCATTTATATAGGGAATCTAAGAAAATCAATAAATAAACAATTGGGACAAATAATAATTGTTAGTTCTGGCCTCTAGAGCCTTTATCTGACCTGCAGCTTCCCCTTATTCCTCTGTCAGGATGGCCACTGTCCTGGGTGCTCAGGACTGAGGGGTTTCCCTGGAGGCAGGTCTTTCCGTGTTAAACCTTCAACAATCACCCTAACTCTGGCCCTGATTGTTTCTTCCCTTATGACCCTTGGAAACTTCCTTCCTGTCAAGCTAGGTTGTATATTAAAATTTGTTTGGGTATTGTATTTTATTTAGCATTCCTAGATATTTTTATTTTATTAAAGATTCATATTTATTTATTTATGCATACAAGAACTGGGTTGTAGACCAGTGATGCAGGGGGTCAGAGAATTCACCAGAGACAGTGGGGAGCAGAACAGGCAGATCTACTTAGATACACTGCTGAGGGGAGCAGCAGGGCAATAGGAGAGGTCTGCTGCACCTTGTGGGTCAACTCCCTGGCTGGGGATGAAACTCATGCTGCAGTGGCTGCTGATAGCTTCATTGTGCTGAGACTTAACCCCTTGCGCCACCAGGGAGGGCTCTTAGATATTTTTAGCAATAAGGTATTGATCCACATCAGTCTGCTCAGTCTGCTTTTTTGCCAGAATTCTCCTCATTCAGCCTTTAAGAATAATGAAAGTCTTTATGACATGGGACAATTTCATGTGTAGAGTGAAAAATGCAGATCACCAACTCGAGAGTTGGGCATTGTTTTTATTGTAAAAACACATCACGTGCTCATGTCTCTGAAAATGTTGAGATAGCTAGCAGAACTTCTATAGATAGAATTTGACTTCAAATTCTATAGTCTTTGGGGGGATTATGGGTGGGGGGAAGAAATACAGGAAAGGGCAGAGTAGAAAAAGAAAAATGAATATTGGGAAGGGTAACAAAGGAAATATTTCTTTTCTTCAAAGACTTATTTATTTATACAAGCACTGGGGTACAGGCCAGAGGCATGGGAGAGTGAGAGAATCCACCAAAGACAGAGCAGGGAGCAGAACAGGCAGACGGACCAAAAGTACTACTGAGGGGAGCAGTGGGCGAGACAGGAGAGGTCTGCTGCACCATGTGGGTATTCCCTGGCCGGCCGGGAATCGAACCGGTGCCGCTGAGGCTGCAGACAGCCTCAGAGCGCT